GCTAAATGACTAAATGTAAATATAAATGTAAATGTAGACCACAAATGCACTCCAAGTGTTTCATCATGGTGGCAATTGAGCCTTGAAAGGGAATCTATGAATGTTAGTTTGAAATTGCACATAAGAACTTTAGATTATTGTGGTGAGGGTACTCAAAGGTGGGAAGAGGTCACTATGGAGGGTGAAACATGTCAGAAAGCAGAGTGGCAACATAGAAAGAGAGGTTACAATAACAGAGCGTCAAACTCTGAAGTTCAGTTGTGCTCTTGCTGGAACAGTCGTGTGTCCATGGACCAGCTGAATCCTTCAGTAGAGGCTCTCTCACTCCAACACAAATACTCACTAAATAAAGGCTGAGTGTTCCAAGTAAAATCACTTCAGCTGAGTTCAATAACTATTATTCATGTCCCATTTCTTCTTGCAATGCGAACACACTTCTGATTTCTTATGAAGTACCCTACAGGACTCAGGCTGTGACTAGTACAAAAACTTAAAACAGAAAAAAAAACTGTGCGTAATGCGGGTTTGTCAGATATCATCTAGGAGTCATCTTGAGAGTGTGCACCAGTATTTCATGTGAGCCCATATTATTTATCTGCAAGCAAATGACTCTTATGAATTGGTTAATTTTAATGAATCCGTTAAAAAGATTACCAGACACATTTACCACTCTGCAAAATTTAACAGGCGAAGCCCTGTAATTTCAATATTTGCCATTTCCCTCGCAGATTTTGTGAGCACTTGGTAATTACAGAACAGTGTGTTGGAGCGGGGTAGAACTGAACTCTGCAGGTAGGTAAATCTTCAAGAAGAAGATTGGGCACCCCTGGTCTATTGAAATTACTAATAATCCAGCTCTGACCTACAAACAAAAAAAGAACAAGAAGATAATGGACGATACCATGAGGAGACGGCACCAAGGGAATTGGAGTCATCTGATGGATGATGACATCTCACAACAGGTATATTTCCTTCTTTGAGGCTCATTCCTTTCATATCGTAAACATTTGCAATGTATCATTACCACTGCTCAGACAAAATGTGACCTCAATGTAAAACCTTTGACCTGCTGCATGAGCTCGATAAACTAAGTTATGGCAGGGGGTACAAACACTATATTGGAAGGGGATGGCCTTTCTCCAGATTCACAATGAAATGCTGACAAATGTTATTTGGCCTTTTACAAAAACACAGTGGGCTCTTTTAGAAAAACGAAAACCATTCAAAATATAATCCTTCTTGTTTAAAACATCTCCCAATATCCTCCCTGTGGATGGGCATGCACCTCTTGTAAAGGTGAACGACTTTTCACCAAAGGAGAGCAACGGACATCATCAATACTCAAAAATAGCTCGAAAAGGACAACTCATCATCATGAGACACTATAAAAGCACACATCTGATTCTTAGTGGACATGCGAGTGCAAAGCCAGGTTCCTGCAATTAAGTCAACCAAATTACCCAAGATCATGGGACCTTCCTACATGGTCGTCTTTGCACTTGCACTTTTAATTGAATTGACTACAGCTTTGCCCACAGTTAAGATGGACGAAGAACGTACAGACCAAGATAGACTAGTGTCGATAGCAGGAGAAGACAATGCAAGCGAAATGGGACCTGGGCAGCTCACCTTCAGAAGACACCCCATCAAAGAGGGCAGACTGGTGGACGAAGACGGGACAAAACGCATCTTCATACTTGCTGTAAGTGTTTGCACGTTAATTTTTCGTGCAATTTTTAATTTTTTAAGATACCATGATTGTATTTGCCAACATCTACATGCACTTTAAATCAGGAAATCTTACCAGTCCGATTTTGCTGGTGTGGTATGAATCAGATGACCTTTCAATGGGTATCAAACAGAGCTTTCTCAATTCAAAGCTGAATTGTCCTCACATTGCTACAATTATCAGTGTAGTAATGTAACAGTCAGAGAGGACTATGGGAAGGACATGGTCACAAGAGGGTAAATGGAATCTATGGATAAAAGGGCCCACATTGATATTGTGAAAACTGGCTAAGCGAGGCATGGGAAACTTTATCGCAATTTGACATTTCTTCCATGTGGGGCTCCATGTGCCGGCTTTGCTTCAGTAGTAATGGACGATATCACGAGGAGACGGCACCAAGGGAATTGGAGTCATCTGATGGATGATGACATCTCACAACAGGTATATTTCCTTCTTTGAGGCTCATTCCTTTCATATCGTAAACATTTGCAATGTATCATTACCACTGCTCAGACAAAATGTGACCTCAATGTAAAACCTTTGACCTGCTGCATGAGCTCGATAAACTAAGTTATGGCAGGGGGTACAAACACTATATTGGAAGGGGATGGCCTTTCTCCAGATTCACAATGAAATGCTGACAAATGTTATTTGGCCTTTTACAAAAACACAGTGGGCTCTTTTAGAAAAACGAAAACCATTCAAAATATAATCCTTCTTGTTTAAAACATCTCCCAATATCCTCCCTGTGGATGGGCATGCACCTCTTGTAAAGGTGAACGACTTTTCACCAAAGGAGAGCAACGGACATCATCAATACTCAAAAATAGCTCGAAAAGGACAACTCATCATCATGAGACACTATAAAAGCACACATCTGATTCTTAGTGGACATGCGAGTGCAAAGCCAGGTTCCTGCAATTAAGTCAACCAAATTACCCAAGATCATGGGACCTTCCTACATGGTCGTCTTTGCACTTGCACTTTTAATTGAATTGACTACAGCTTTGCCCACAGTTAAGATGGACGAAGAACGTACAGACCAAGATAGACTAGTGTCGATAGCAGGAGAAGACAATGCAAGCGAAATGGGACCTGGGCAGCTCACCTTCAGAAGACACCCCATCAAAGAGGGCAGACTGGTGGACGAAGACGGGACAAAACGCATCTTCATACTTGCTGTAAGTGTTTGCACGTTAATTTTTCGTGCAATTTTTAATTTTTTAAGATACCATGATTGTATTTGCCAACATCTACATGCACTTTAAATCAGGAAATCTTACCAGTCCGATTTTGCTGGTGTGGTATGAATCAGATGACCTTTCAATGGGTATCAAACAGAGCTTTCTCAATTCAAAGCTGAATTGTCCTCACATTGCTACAATTATCAGTGTAGTAATGTAACAGTCAGAGAGGACTATGGGAAGGACATGGTCACAAGAGGGTAAATGGAATCTATGGATAAAAGGGCCCACATTGATATTGTGAAAACTGGCTAAGCGAGGCATGGGAAACTTTATCGCAATTTGACATTTCTTCCATGTGGGGCTCCATGTGCCGGCTTTGCTTCAGTAGTTTGGGAGCAGTTATGGAGAGGGATCTTGAGGCTGCCCTTGGGCGCGTGTTGTTCGAATTAACTTAAACATCTCCAGGTGTGGTTTCAGACTTTCATACAGCAGGAAAAATGCCTGTAGAGGGAGCAGTGTTTTGGGTTTAGCTTGGGCTGCTTCTGTTCAAGTGGCTGTTCCGTGTTCTGATGTGCTGACTAAAAATGCCTTCTCCTTTTCCACCAGGACACAGGAATAAAAGGGTCTCTTGGGAGGGAAGCAAACCTTGCCTTTTCGAGAACCTTCACTGTGCTGCCGCCGCGTGGGACGGATCATGCTCTGGATGGATTCAACATGAGGGATGAGCGACGAAGCATAGATAATGTCATTCCCGTGGGCAGGAAGGACATAGACAGTAAGCACTGCCAAGTTTCTTATCGTCCTCCTCACCATCTTCTTTGTAGATATTCTTCCATGGCCATGAAAGTAACCTGATATGCTTGAGGACTACTTTACATTTTGAATCATTACACATGTACATAGTATAGTTTTAAACAATTTACCCGGGGATGGACTGGCCAGGCCATCTCCATGCCTATGGTCCGAGATGCTTGTCTTACCTGGTTCAAGCTGGTCTCCCAATTGAAAAATGTTCAAAACCCCTCTACAACTGGAAAATCAGACCAGAAAATTAGCTTAGGTTGTTTTAATCTTTGTTTCAGCAGGGAATACACCAGTGAGCAAACAACAGTTAGCCCAGTTACATTAATGCTAAATTTGCTTTGCTCTTCCTGTTCTCTTCACAGTGCTAAGGTGCATGATAGGGAGAGTATACAGGCCCTGTTGGCAAGCTTGAAAACGGAGCAGCTGACAAAGCACCTGCATGATTTTCCCAGCTCTCCCGCCCCGCCCCGAAAAAAGGGGGGGGGGGGGGGGGGAGGGAGGAACGTGTGCTCTTAAGAGTTTTTACAACAGATGTGGGGGCAGCCAGGTTTTATGGGATGGGGAATCGTTTAAAGGTTGATCTTAAGTACCAGTCCCAAAGCAGGGATCGAGGCCTGGGCTGTGGAGGTGGACCTAGGCATCTTTCCGACAAAGCAGATGATGTCAGGAAACAGTGGTTGCAATTTACTTTTTAACTCTGTTCCTGAGCATTATAACCCCAATTTGCTATTGTGTACTGCGCATTTTTACTGAGGACAGCTTCCACAACACGAGTGAGTACAGTGCCGGATTCGCCAAAAGCTTTTGTTGAAAGACGGATCAAGGGGCGGGGCAGTACTGAAACACCGTCTAAGCTGTTCGCCAATCACAACGCGCTGGGACAGCTAACCAATCACAACACATTTTGTTTTTCGGAAGGCGGATCTTCATCAAAGCCAGAACGGGGAGAAAGGTATTTTAATAATGTAAATTATGTGAAAAATAATGTGTTTTTCGAACCACCAAGCATGAAAGCATGTTCTAGTACACCCCCAAAACAAAATCAAGACTTCGTAAAGGAGCATTATAGGACCCCTTTAAAAAAGAAAAAAAAGAAAGAAAAAGGAAGCAGCCAAAAAATACTTAAAACCCCATGAAATTACTTAATGAATGCAGATTCCTTATCGATCGGTCGCAGTGGGTGGGACATTCTCAGACATTTCTAGAGAACACGTGATAAGACATGAACCTGTGGCATCATCATAAATTTGGCTCTGGTTTCTCAGAACAGAAAGCCTACACATTTTAAAAGCATTATAGAAGCTAATGTTTCATTCGGTTACATTTTAAAGGGACACAACAGCATTTACATGGTCTCAAAACTAATACCCAAGGACTAAGAGTGACAAAACAAATTTTGCATAGCGTCTTTAAATGTGGCAGAGGCATTACCTTTGAGACTGATGTCCATCCCAGTTGGGTCATGCTCTTCCTCCACAGTCACTGGTAAAGGGACAGGTTTTTTGGGTGCAGGGTGCATACAGGTGGGAAGTTGGCTGGTGCTGGGAAACTCCAACACCCGGTTGAGGGGCAGCTCATCATCCTTGTATGTGCATGCAAACTGAGAGCGGATGGTTGACCGCACAACCTTTAAAGAAAAAAAAAATATATAAAAAAAATATTAAGTTATTTTTAAAACATTTACTTATTTTTTTAAACTGCAACAACAGCTGAAAGAATGTTTTTTTTACTCATTACAGCTATAAAATTATACCACTTTTGCCAATCCAAAAATAATCAAAATAACATAATAATCCAAGACTAAACCTTAACAAGATCTTATGCATATTACCTGCTTGATAACATGCCATAGGTTTAAAGGGATAGTTCACCCAAAAATAAAAATTGTGTCTTTACACATACTAATTACTCACCCTCATGTCGTTCCAAACCCGTAAGACCTTCGTTCATCTTCGGAACACAAATTAAGATATTTTTGTTGAAATCCAAGAGCTTTCTGACCCTGCATAGACAGCAACACAACTGACACGTTTAAGGCCCAGAAAGGACATAGTTAAAATAGTCCATGTGACATCAGTGGTTCCACTGTTCAATCAGTGTCAGTCTTCGATGCATGTTCACGGCTCCTGGGTCGGCAACATCATATACAGTGGGTACGGAAAGTATTCAGACCCCCTTAAATTTTTCACTCTTTGTTATATTGCAGCCATTTACTAAAATCATTTAAGTTAATTTTTTTCCTCATTAATGTACACACAGCACCCCATATTGACAGAAAAACACAGAATTGTTGACATTTTTGCAGATTTATTAAAAAAGAAAAACTGAAATATCACATGGTCCTAAGTATTCAGACCCTTTGCTCAGTATTTAGTAGAAGCACCCCTTTGATCTAATACAACCATGAGTCACAAAAAGTATTCCCGTAGCTGCATAACATTACGGTTGAACCCCTGATGTCACATGGACTATTTTAATGATGTCCTTACTACCTTTCTGGGCCTTGAACGTGTCAGTTGCATTGCGGTCTATGCAGGGTCAGAAAGCGCTCGGATTTAATCAAAAACATCTTAATTTGTCTTCCGAAGATGTTTGGAACGGGTTTGGAACGACATGAGGGCGAGTAATTCCAGACAGAATTTTCGTTTTTGGGTGAACTGTCCCTTTAAGTTGGCAAAACATGAATATTATCAATGAATGATGTATGGCATAGTGGCACTGCAGCACTGGTACAAATGACGATGTCCAGAAACACTCTGATACAGTCTTCAGGTCATCAGGCTGTCTTATTTTTGAGCCCTGCTGATATAACTGGGTGGACATGACCACATCTAAAATCTTATGAGAATGAATACAAAAAATAAATAAAAGGATAAGTGCTGCGGTCCAGAGGCTAGGGTGAGGAGCATGAAAGAAGGAAATGGTAGCTCGCACAGGCGTAGTGAACCTCTAAGGTCTCAAGGGTCTCAGAGAAGCGCTGATCCGCCTCTTTCAGGGCCTTTGATCCATCCCTGCTAAGGATTATCAGGATTCAAGGCTCTCTCCCTTCAGGCTAGCTGGCCACAGTAGGAGAGTGGAATTCAGGGAAGTAAAAAAATAAAATAAAATACTGCAGGCATAGTTGGGTGGGACTGCAAAAGCGTAGAGAGAATGGGGCGGTGGTTGTATGTAGGGGGGGGGATCAAAGTTTGAGTGCAGCTTTTTCAAAGCACTTTCTCAAAAGAGCACCTAAAACAACAGTATTGCTCAGACTGGGTGCTTTCATATGGGAGGCTTATATGGTACGTTGGGCAGCCCTGATTGTGCGCCAATAGAGAGCCTTAAAAAAAACCCAATTGCGACAGGCTGGGTCCACCAGTCACTTACATTTAGTCATTTAGCAGATGCTTTTATCCAAAGCGACTTACAATTGGGGGCTACTTCCTCTGATATGAACGTCATCATTAAGCCCTCAATAAGATGAGGGGGCATGTCTGTGTTTGTGAAGCACACAATGGCATGACACACGGTTAAATAACACCTGTTTTGGGACAAACCCACTGAGCCAGCTGACACAGCACCAGCAGCAGTGATATTATGACCCCATATACATGTGGTATTAACATCGGATCAAATTATAAGTGGTAAGCTGAGACACATTAGTGGTCACGGTATTCACTTGGTAGTAATGTGTATCGAATGAGTTCAATCAGGGGAGGGTCTCTGATTATATATTACTGTCCATGTCAGCGATTTATTGAATGTTGGAATAATAATTATAAAAATAGCCACTATCCATACATATCCAGGGTGTTTCCCTGCCTTTTCTGGCCCAAGACGCTGTGATGGCGTCAAGATTTCTGCGACCCAACATAGACCTGAATGGTTTGGAGAATGGATGGATTTTTTATTTTTTTAAACCATTAGGTTTAAATTTATAACAACAAAAACACCACAATTTTTAGAATAAACTATTTAATAATATTCTATCATTAATACTTACTAAAATCTTATTATCCCATTTACACCTGTACTTACGACCATCCATTTGAGATTGGGTGACCAGATACAGATCTTAATAAATACCAGAGGCCTGTTTTGAGTGTGGTTGTTTTTATATAACAGGAAACCTGCTGCACAAGCACCATGCATAAAAAAAAAAAAACAGCTGTATAAATTTGCACATTACAAAACAGAGGAAGCAGATGATATAGCTCGTGAATGTGCATTACTTGCCTTCTGTTTTAAAATTTCTGTTTTGAAAGTGCCACATTCAATTTCGGTTTAACCGCTATTTGAGACTGGGGTCTCTGCTTACAGCCCCCATTATTCTTTACCTTGGACTTGACGTGTTCTTGTTGGCTCAAGATGCGGTTCCGTAAAGGCTTTGGAGAAGATCCCGTGGGAGCATCTGGAGATCTATAAGCACAAAGTGGAAAGCGAACAAGCTGAATATTCAAAGATTAAAACAACATTTTGAAGTGCAAATCAAAAATGATACAACAAAAATAAATTGCAAACGTTTAATTAGTCAAATAAACACATACATACACAAATTAACGTTGTCACACCTATCACCCAACAAAATACGAACATTTATTACCGACTGCATTATTGCATTAATTTATTATTATTATTAATAATAATAATAATAAAATGAATGAAGCAATTAGGAATCATTGGTTAAGATTTATTTACAACAGAATAGCACAACCCAGATGTTCGAATTTGTGCAACTCATTTTATGGACGCCAGTTTTTTGAACCTAGAAGAGTACAAGGCTGGCTGTGCACAAAGGCTATTTAAAAAAATAAATAAATAAAATAAAATAAAAAAAAAAGGTTTTATTATTATTATTAATAATAATAATAATAAAATGAATGAAAAAAAATAATATTTTAAGCATCTAATTAGGCATTATAAATTTTATGAAAAAAAAAAGATTTTTGCATCTGTTTTTGTCCTATGACCATATTTAAAGGGGTCATATGATGCGATTTCAATTTTTCCTTTCTCTTTGGAGTGTTACAAGCTCTTGGTGCATAAAGAAGATCTGTAAAGTTGCAAAGACTAAAGTCTCAAATCCAAAGAGATATTCTTTATAAAAGTTAAGAGTTAACCACGCCTACCTAAAATGGCT